ATTCTATGTAGAAGTACGATGATGTCACTTTTTCGCTTTGCCAGTTATCTCGACTAGCACGTCGTATTTGCGATAGTACCCGAGAATGTTGCCAACGAAGCGAACACGCGTTTGTCCGATCACGTTTTCCAGCGCCTTGAGCGCAATGGGCATCTGTGTCTCGTCGAACTGCTTCTTGTCATGAGGTAGCAACTGAAACACGGTGTCATCGAATAACCACGCGCCCGCGTCTGGCTCACTTGGCTCACTGGGCTTTCCGCGCGGCATGACGATACCCTGTGAAACGAACGTCACTGTCTGTCCGACTTGGATTTGGAGGTGGTAGGCAAAAATCTCCCCTGTTTCGTCGGCATCACCCAAGTATTGATCCGCCGCTGTGATCTTGAATCCAGCACTGCTGCTTTGCACTACATTGCACACCGCGATGAATAAAACGAACCCGACACAGAAAGCGTAGCGCGATACATCCATCAGTATATTTGCTTGTTGAAAGAAGCGAGAAAATGAGCTACAAAGGCGATGTAAATGAAAGAAAGTAAGCAAGCGACAAAATGAGAAAAAAATAACAACGATAAGAAGAAAATCTGCTCTTCGCCAGCTGTTCTTATTCGCGCTGTGTATTAGGTGTGCGACAGCCCCATATCACTTACTAAGCTGGTCATAATTGTTACGCTCTTCTCATAGGAGTGGAATCTAAGCACCCCTCCTGCCTTTCTACAGATATTATGGTACATCGACGTTTAAGCTTACGATTATGACCAGATTCTGCTCATGTGAAAAGAGCTGCTTCGTTGATGCCGCTCACATAAAGAGAGTTGGTGAGTGGACCAGAGACCAAAAACGAACCGAACCAAAACTATTTGTGAAAAGTGAGATCGAGTCAAACCCGAAGTGAACTGAACTCGATCCATAAAAATTCGGTTCGATTCGGTCTCTAGATCGTAGCATATATGCAATAGCTAATAAATATACTAGAAGAGGTTTTCGTTCGATTCAAAAACAAGATACCAAAGTTTTCAAAATTGCTGCTGATAGCTCGGGGTCAGTATTATTTAGTTCCAAAGCCAGAGTCCATAATTCAGTCAGGCAAGCGTTGAAGAAAAACGACGTTTGTAAGCGTAACAAACGCACATTTTACCGCGTTTAAAAAAAATTCTTTAAATGAAGGAAGCTTCTGAACGTTAACATTGTGAAAATCAATTCTTTCGAAAAATTTTGTTTATAAACGCGTTAAAATGTGCGCTTGTTTCGCGTAAAAACGGCACTATTGTCGTTACTTGCCTGACTGGTAAATCGCTCGTCAGCGATAGAAAGCCTGATTGCAACGAAGGGGATATGTCTAGGAGCTATCAAATCCCTCTATACTTCTTAAGATGGGGTGGGGTGTGGGTGTGGGTGTGAGTGTGAGTGTTAGATACATGTCTTGAAGTAATCCTCACTCACACCCACACCCACACAGGCACCCACACCACACCCACACACCCACACCCTCATCAGATGGTTTTGACTTCAGGGGGTGAGTGTGAGTATAGATATGGGTGACGGTTGGCGTTTGTCTAACTTTTTCCACGCCCATAAACACAGCCACAGCCACACCCCGCCTGCATCCAAGCCAATCTAACCCAACCTAACCCAACCCAGCTTCGAAACATATAGACTTTATCTCTATATACTTTTCATATTAAAATAAATTTTCTGACCCAACTCAGTCCCAAAACATATAGACTGCACCTATATATTCTTTTAATATTAAATTGAATTTCCTGGCCCAATCGAACGCCAAAACATATAGACTTCATGTGTCTATGCTTTTCTGTTTAAGATGAATTTTTTGGCCGCGAATGATACGACAGCAGGGGTTGTGTTACTTGAATGTATTGTTTGACAACTAATGTGGAAGTATAAATCATATACATTAGGTGGCATCATTGCAGAGACGCTCTATTGGTTTTGTGTCTCATTGTATCGGGCTGTCTGGAAAGTTCATGCAGCTGTATCTTAATTTCATATATGCAACGTTTAGTTCATGTTATTGTGCAACACGTGAATTTTCAACACGATATAGATCTTCTTCTCGACTAATTGCATCATTTTGTGGAAAGAATAAGTTTTCACAACCGTGTCTACCCATAAGAATTAGTTAGTTGAGCAGTCAAAAATAGATAACGAAATAAATGGTACCAGGCTGCAATAAACGGCACTTTTAGATTTTATTTAAAAATCATTGATGATTTCATTTCAAGGCTATATGAGTATCATCCGATATCATCATAGAATGAATAACAAAAGCAAAAAGTGGCACGTATCACTACAGAAAGAGAAAAATGTGCAAAATGGAAGGATAAATATTTTCGAAAATAACTATTTCGCTCTGTACATTTTTTTCTTGTTTTTGTATAAATATGTGCAACTTTTTACTTTTGTTATTCATTTTTCTGGTTATAACAAGTGATACTTATAGAATCTTTACATGGAATTACAAGTGATTTCAAGTAAAATATAGAAACGTATTTCGTTGCCATTTAGTGTTATTCATTTCGTATCTAGTCGTGTTTCAGACATGTCAAACATCGAATATCGAACGATCATAAAGTTTTTTACTTGAAAAGGACTGAATGCCACCCAAATCACCAAGGAACTGAAAGAGGTTTATAACGGCTCGGCTCCAGCATACCGCACCGTTGCAAAATGAGTGGCTGAATTTAAGGATGATCCAACACGCGACTTTGAAGACTCATCATGAAGTGGTCGTCCATCGACTACAATCACCGATTAAATTTTAAAGCCGTGAAACATATTGTAATTTGTGATCGACAGATTTTCGTTCGCCACGTAGCTAACGGGTTGAACATCCCAAAAACTATTGGTTACGAAATTATGAGCAATTACTTAGGTATGTGCAAGGTCTGCGTTCGTTGGGTACCGAAATTCTTGACCCCGCTTCAACGCGCTAATCGAGTGGAGTGTTGTCAGGAGCTACTGCAGGCGTGTGAACCGAATTCGGCCAAATTTCTCAGTCGTATCGTAACGGGGGATGACACATGGTTGCATCACTATGTTCCGCTCAGCCGCCAGGAAGCTATGGTCTGGAAGAAATCAGGAGAAGAGACACCAACTCAATCTGGTCGGCAGTGATCCACAGGCAAGGTCATGCTCGTCATTTTCTGGGACGAAGACGGCGTGCTGCTCACCGACTATATGACTGATGGAAAGATGATCGATGGCTCCTATTAATGCTTCACTTATCGAGCAGCTGCGTGCCACTATTCTAGTGAAGCATCACGGAAAAATCAACCATGAAGTGCTGCTTCTTCATGACAATGCGTCTGTCCACAAGGGCAATGTTGCGCAAGCTGCTATTCATAAGGTGAATTTCGTCGAACTGAATCATCCTGCCTATTCTCCGGATATTGCACCTAGTGACTATTACTTGTTCAAAAATTTGAAGACATTTCTTCGTGGCAAGAATTTTGACTCTGATGATGAAGTGATAACGACTGTTGAGGGGTACTTAAGTACTTATATGGAACATTTCTTCAGGGGCAATTATGATACAAATCATTTCAATACATTAGAAGCCTTTTTTTACAAATAATCTATTATACAAATTGTGCCATTAATTTACATTATTAAACATTATTTTGCTAATTATTTTTCTTTTGTTTATACGGTGAAAAAATTTGAGTAACTATAGGTTAGTAATAACGTGGTTTTTAATCATCGTTTGATCGAAAAATTTTCTTGTAATTACAGAAGATTGTTAGTCAAACATGTAACGTGCGTTGACAATCAAGAAAATCTGTAAAGTGAAGAGAGTGGACAGAACGAAAAAGTCTCTCATTCTCTACAATATTCTATATTTGCATATAGGAATGATCATTTACTTAACCTTTACACATCACATGGAGTATAAAATAAACGCATGTGTTGCATTCTTTGAAAAAGTTGTGCCCATGCATTCTGTAAGTGCTCTCAATGACCATCAGAGTTTTGTCTCATAGACGAGAATAAAAAAGATAAGAAAAACAAGAAAAAAAGCAGACGAAAAAAAGAATAGCGACTTAAGAAGTGCATCTTCATTTTGTACTCGAATTCTAATTATTGCTACTGTCGTTGTTCATAACACAACAAACGAAACATGGCCAAGATAAAAGAGCTTCAACAATACATGGTTCAATATCTAGCAGAATGTTTTTCAACATGTATTCTAATACTTATTGGTGAAGCTGCTATTGCTAATTATAAATTTGCTCGACAAACTTCTAATTCTACACTTCCAGTTGGTATTGCATTTGGCGTCGGCGTGTATTCTGGTAATATAAACAGAAATAAACAGATAAATCAGAGTAGCACCTAGGGTGATCAGTTTTTCGACACTATCCGAGATGTTTTTGACGATGTGTATTGATATTGTAGCTGCCTCCCTCCATTGGTTTCAAACGTGAAAGATGGAATATCATATTCAGGTTAGAGTGACAAGAAAAGAGTTAACAATCTGCAATTTCTTCTAATGCTGATTCAGATTTAAAAAAAAAACTCTCATACACTTGATGAAACTCTTTAAAATACGAATTCTAAAGCAGTAATAAGTAGCAATCAAATCTTCGATTTACAATGAAACACTGATGAATAGTCAATTAAAACCGATTTCATTCTATGACTCATTATACAGTATATACAAATCCTATTAAGTTCTTTATTACATCTGTAGAACATTGATCCTTCATTTTCTTTGAACTGAATAATTTATTTGTCCTTTTAAACGGCTCTTCTAGTTTTGATCAATAGCATCCTCTTCACTCATCTATCGTTTATCTAAAATAGACCATCTCTGTCCATCTTTCAAGCGTGAATTCTATGTCTATCAAAATGAAACTGATTTCTTTTTCTTTACAAACACTTACTTTATCTACTTTTAAATCGCAATGCAACATAGTTTTATTTTCCTGATTAAGGCTTAGTTATTTTTTTTCTTTTTCAATAATGAGTAAGAGAAATAATCACAAGTTACAATAACTGAAGTTATTAATAGTCAACTAAAGAACCAACCAACTTATTAGTGAATTAGTCACTCTACAAAATTAATATCTTGACCACAATTACAAGAAACTTTCTAATAACAAGAGTCTCGATAGAGAAACAAGTGAAAAAAAATACTCCATGTGTACAAGTTCACATTTAAATTATTTAATGTTTTTAACTTGAACTCATTTAGTATATACAGATCATTATGCCAAACGAACTGAAATCTTCAAATGCCAGAAAATCTTGTTAATGTAAAATTTTGTTAAGAATCGTAAATAAAGGAAACACAAATGTGACAACAGTACGCTTGATTGGCTTATCATTTTTTTTCGGTACATGATATTAGTAATTCCATCAAAATAATTTTTTTTCTGCTACGTTGACCAATCGCAGCCTAGCGATTTTACCGGAAAAAAATTAATACGCATTTTGACATGTTATTCAACCTGAAAAGAAGTGTGATAATTTTTAACAGAAACGAAAAAACATCACTCTTTTTTTCAAAACATATAAAAATCTATCCGTTGATTTGTTTTCTTTGTTCTAGCGATGATGATTAGTGGACCAATTACCGGTATAAGAAAGATTTAAGCACTGCTCTTAATAGAACTCTGTATCGATCGTTCTAGGTGCACATCTCAATCCAGCTGTAAGCATATCTTTAATGACTATTGGCAAGCTCAAACCACTACGGTGTATCTTCTACATTATCGGTCAAATATCAGGTGCATTTTTAGGTGCTCTCTTGGTCTATCTTGTCTATTTTAATCAATTTAATGTATTCGATGGTGGAGTACGACAAATGATAGGTCCTAATGGTACAGCTGATATTTTCTTCACAATGCCTGCCAAAGGTATACCTCAATGGAATACATTTATCGATCAAGTTGTCAGTACTGGTTGTCTGATGATCTTTGTCATGGCATTGGCATATGTAAGATGGCAAATTGGAATAGATAATTACTTGATTCATCATTCTATGTAGGACTGTAATCATATGATTTCGGAAGTAGCTAAACCATTTGCATTTGCGGTAGTCGTTATGAGCGTCACTTGTGCATTTTCAATAAATGCGGGAGCTGCAGTTAATCCGGTATGTATATATATTAATCTACAAAGTGTTATTCTCTTTCTTTCTCACACTTCAGGCTCGTGATTTAGGTCCACGTATTTTTGGAGCATTTGTCTATGGTTGGAATGATGTATTTCGCGCACATAACTACTTCTTTTGGGTACCGATAATAGGTCCAATTGTCGGAGCCATTCTTGGCGCGTGGATCTATACAGGTTATACTTGGCTTATCAAGCACTATGGACATTTTTCCAACACTGAACATACTGCTGCTGATAAAAAAATCCTTCTCAATAACACACAAACAGAATCTGTTGATGATGCACATGAGCTTCAACTAAAGCTCACAAAAGTGCATGGTTAAATCAAAATCATGTGATTATGAATTGATACTACTGTTGAATTTAGTCCAGCCTTTTCGTATTCAATGTTTGTTGTGTGATTTCATGTAATGTATTTGTGTCTTATGATGCAAAGTATTAAAGAGCATGAAGGTACTTGATGAAGAAGAGTGGTAATTGGTTGAGAATAAGATCCAACTCTTGAAGTGACTTGATCGGGCGTTCAAACAGTTGGTGGACGATAAAAAAAGCAGTAATATGTTCATTGTCTATGTTACAGTGTGAAGCCCTGTCTAGTAATCTTACGCGAGCTTTTAATGCAATGCAAATCACAGCATTTCCGTAGTCGGTCTCCACAGTGTGTATGTTTTTTCTGTAACAAAGTCTATATTTGGTATTACGATGGCGTAGAGTACGACGAGTCGCTAGAAGCTCGTTCGAAGTGTGCCAGGGAGATTCGTGTCCCGATATTATATAAACGTTTTTGAATCTTCTATATGAGTGTTCGCTAATTTTCAGCAAGTTCCGCAAAACGGTAATTTCAACAATTTGGCCTCCATCTATTATCCGAGATAATAAAAAATGGTGAGCTAGCCTGTAGCCAGCTAAACTGCCAGCTTTTATAAGGAAGAGCTATAATGGAAACATTTGACAGGAGAAGATCGACTCTAGATGAAATCGTTTATCATTCTTATACTAATTCAAACTCGATTGTCCGAATTTGAGATCGCTTTGCACCGCATTTATGTAGTCCTTTGTAAATTCTCTTTTTTTTTATTTATTTAACTTAATAGACGTAAGTCCAATGTTCAACAGGATGTTCCATTTTCTAAAAGAAATCCACATAAAAAGCCAAATTTTTGTGAACCTAGCTTTTTTAAAGCGTCGATGTAATTAAAATTAAGACAGCAATAAAAGTTAGTCACAACTCTCTTTGCTTATGGCTAAGACAGCTGTAGGTTTCGGTATGTCTTCTTTTCATCCACACCCTCACAAGCTTAACTCTAGCTTAAACATTGTTCTCATCATTCATGTTCAAAAACATGACCTTTATCTACGATCAGTATCGAAGTATGATTTTGACATTGTTTATCGACAGTATCCTCCACAGTTTGAGGATGGGTATGAGTGATTGGATCTTCTCTTTATCATTCACGCACTCAGACTCACATCAACACCCTCAAATACTTTTTATTTATCATTTTCTCATGAATATGAGATATGAATTCTCCTTTATTAGTGGTAAAAAAAACATCAACCGATTTCGTCAATATATGTTTAGCGGAGATATTCAAGTTTTTCTTCATCAAAAGAACTTGTGGATCATCTTGTTTAAGATGTGCTAATGATTCCAGACATTCCGTCTCATTAAATTCTCACGTGTGTAAATATCATATCGCCGCTTACCTCTTTTTTCTTATTAGCACCACTTCTGCACACATCCTTTAGGGTGTGGGCGTGGGTGTGGGTGTGGGTGGGTGTGGGTGTGGGGTGTGGGTGTGGGTGGGTGTGGGCGTGAGGTGGGTGTGGGTGGGTGTAGGTGTGTGGTGGTGTTGGTGGGGTAGTGCTGGTGGGGTGTGGGTGTGGATGTCGATGGCATTAAGACTCACAACCACACCCACACCCACACACTCCCACACTCACACCTCACACTCACACACCCACACCCACCCCACACACACACCCACACACCCACACTCACACTCACCCACACACACCCATACTGATACCCACACCCATACCCATCCAAATGAATGTTCTCACTATAAAAAAGATAATTTAATTCTTCGTCTAACCTAATCGTTTAAATGGCTAACAAAAGTCATTACACGAAATGGGCAAGATGTAAATAGCGAAATTCTGGAATTCTACGAATCTCCTATGATACGTTACAAAATTCTGTGGAATTTTATGGAATCCAGAATTCAAGATCCCGCTATTTTTATCTCTTGGTCAATTATTAGGAGACAAAAAAGGTAACATATTCATTTGTCAAACATAACCAATAATGTCTTTTATATAAGGAAAAAAAAATGAATTTACAAGAAAGTATACCACAATATTTAAATTTTATTTCAATAAAAAGAAAATAATCTTATTATATTTCTAAATTATTTTATTAGTTTTTCAAAAACCCATTGTCAATAAATCATTAAAGATATTGAAGTAATTCAATTATACCTTCATTAAATATATATGCGAATTCATCTAATTGATATTTAATTATTAGAGGTAAACCTTTACTTAAATGTTCTATCAATAAATATTGAGTAAAAAGAAGTTTAGGATTTAGAAGACGATGTTTTTTTTATCTCATTATTCAAAAGCCTTTCCCAAATTCAGTTACAAAAATTCGAATTTATTTCATTACAATAAATACATCGAATACAAGAAGAAAGTGCTGACAAGAGTTCTATTAAATTGCACGATCGATTTGTGAAAGAACAGAGCATATAATTGTTTATTTAAAGACCATAAAGTCGCTAACAATTCTGCTCATGATATGTTCGAAAATATTATAAGAAGATTTGTATTTAATAAACTTTCAGATCTTGTTATCATAATATTATTTAAAAAGGAATAGAATATTTTCCAAACGATTAAAAAAAAAATTTTCAAAACAAGTGAAGTGATAAATTTTTTTAAATAAGTATAACAAATAAAGAAATATGATCTGTTTCTTTTCATGCAATAGTTATCAGAATCTCAACAAAATCTTTTTTGTACGATGGCATATTTCTTTCATATTATGCCCATATGTAAGGACCAATTAGATTAGAATAATCTCCAAAAGATTTGTGTTCTTATTGAACTTTGATCGAAATATCGAATTTTAAGTGAATTTTCCTGTAGGAGACTAGGCTTGCGGTAAAATCATATGTTCAAATTTCGATCTAAGATTTTGTAAACATGAAAGTCTCACTTAGACCAGCTTAAATAAAAAGTCTCATCATTTTTGACCATTGCATCTCCGCTATATGAATCTTTCAAAATACAAGTGCTCATCTTTAGATACTATAAAACAGATATTTTGAAAGGTTCATATCTCGAAGATGAAATGTCCAAAAATCACGGAACCTTTCATTTGAGTTAGTCTAAGCATGACCTTTATATTGACAAAATTTCAAGTGAAAACTCCGAATATATGATTTCGTTCCTAAAAAATGACCTCCTACACGAAAAATCTATTAAAATTTCGTTATCTCGGTTGAATCTCAACCGGAGCACGAACTGTTCCGATATTGCTGTAATCTAATGAATTTCTAGACATGAGAATAATATGAATGTAAAGAGACTGAATCACCCGGAAATGTTATCTTGTTAGAAAAACCAATGATAAAGTTCAAAGAGAGTGTTCAAATATACTTATTTAGAAGAACTTCACTTTCTCATACGATCTCAAGTTCATTATTACTTCCATATAATATATACAACCTTCGATATTTTCTTCTTTTTATTTCGTAACAATCTTTGTGATACTTGTAAGATATTGAATACGAGAATCTTTCCTTAAATTACAATTAGTTACTGTCAAAAGATATCGATCATAACTTTTTCGTTGATACTGTGCTATTGTTAGCATTCGACTGAAAAACTTTGAAACAGGCCAAACAGATAGAAACTGGAAGATTTTCCTTGGTTGTTTTGTAACTAAATACGCATGATGATGATCAATCGTAATAAATTCATAGGGTTCATAATATTTTTGACTATTATCATTTTTATATTGTTGGCCAAAACAAAAAATGATGAGTTATAGATCTTCTTTATTAGTCATTCATGCGCCATTAATAAAAATACACTAAATACTTCAAGAAAAGAATGCCATTGAACAAGTTTTGAATTAGTAAATAAATTACGACTGAATGAGAAATTGAATAAGGAAAAAATTGTTCCCCTTTTAGTTTATAATTGAATAGTTGTTAGCTGTTTATTGAATATTCATTTTTACTATTTTAATTTCGATAAAAAAGACTCTAAAAGGTCCTGCTGGATTTAATGATTCATCTTAAACCCAGATACTATATATATGTGGTGTCATGGAGCAATTTTCAGAGCACATGAAATGCTTTATAAGAAAACAGATTTTCCTCAAATATTGATTTGCCGAGAGTTCATTTACTGTGTTTTTATAATCTTTGAGGAATATAGTGATATACTCAGAAATTGTAGTGCTCCATAATATGTTATAAAGCTATTCGATACACTTACATGTACTCTTTAATTTTCTATATTAACAGTTTTCATCGTTACTTTCTTCATATGTGAAAACGATCCCTTTTTAAAAGAATGAAACTGAATTTATTTCACGAAATTGTCGTTCAGTTTGAAGTGTTCGAGCATCTTACTGGAATAAATATTTCAAATTTTGAAAAGATAGGGAACGATCTTCCTTGTCAATGTGAGCTTTCTCTTCATCTTCACCGATATAGCCATACTCATACGCACACAACTTGATCCCACGTTTGCGCCTACATCCAGAAATTCTCTCATTATTTTTGATAAATGATAAATAAAAATACGTAGTTCTTTGCAATAAAGTTTTATTGTATGAAATCTGGAAGTTTCAACCTTTTTTTAAAACCAAATCATGTTAATAAGAAATAAAAAAAAGAAGAAAAACAAACAACTACTTGTATCAGCATGAACTTGAAGACCATAGTATGTATTCATATCATTGTGTACCCATTGAATAACATTCAGTAAGAATACAATAATATAACATACATAATAAATCATCAAGATCACGATAATATCTTCAAAATATATATAACTAAAAAATATAAATAGTTCTCAAGTTTTATTTTCTGATACAAAATAATAGCAATGTATGCAATAAATTGAATCCTGAGATTAAAACAATATCAAATGATAAATAAAAAAATGAAAATATGCAGCATCTTTCAATACAGTTTTATTTTTATGAAAATTTATTTTTGGAAATTAATCGGTGTTATTTATTGATTACATAATGATACGAAAGAATAATATGGTTTTTAGGTTCATGTTAACACAAAAAGTT